TTCAGTCCGGAGAGTCAGAGCAATACCAATACCGGCTTGGCCGGTGCTCGAAGCTGCATCGTCACCGGATAGACGCAATGAGAAAGTGCTACTGGTGTCACCTGAAGGGGATCGCAAAGTGAACACAACTCGAGTTTTGCAGCCGGGTCTCCGATAAGCAACAGGTATTGATGGAGAGGGTCCCTAATGTCCGGGCAATTGCTGCCTGTTGACCGATCTGAAGCAATGTGCGTACATTGAGGCATGCCAATCTGAAGGATGATCGAGGGCTCCAAATGGAAGCCAATGTACTGAGCTTCACCGCTTGGTTGGATATGGGCTTGTCGACATGGCAGGAGTGACGTTTCGCGTTTGTATGTGTTGAAACTGGAAGATAAACACCTATCAAAACATGGTGGGGAGGGCCAAGAATCGGCGGTTGCAAACAGAGGGATAAAAGTGAAGTTGGGACGTTAAGGGTGAAAAAGAGTAAAAAGGAAAATAAGAAGACGGGAAGGTTGAGCCGTGTCATTCGAACCGCTATCCAACCTGCTCGATGCAGCAAATAGGGCCTCGTTGATTATCCTCTGCGACGGGCAGACAATCAAGGAATTGTTGGAAGAGAAATTTATTGTATTGCGTGGGCAGGATGCGGTCAGGTTGCCCAGGCCAAGACAGGAGAACAGTTAGGGTTCTCAACCAGAGCCTTTGGTTCAAAAACCTGGCCGTAAGGCAGCGGGTTTGGCGGTTGGCTACATACAGTCCGTTTTCAGGAATAAGGAACCACCCTCATTCCATCCCCCAACATGGAGGACCAGGAGACTGAGTTTGTCTGGCCTCTAACCATTGAGCAATCTGGTATGAGTGGCTCTGAAGGTGCCAAAAAACCACCCAACCTAGCCCAATGGAACTCTGAGGCACGCAAACAATCGCACCACAATAAGGTTCAGCCTCATTGCGATGGAAATATATGGGATGGGTGTTTGGGACTTGCATAGTGGATGAAAAAAGGAAGCGGCTTGTCTTTATGGGTTGTATCTGATGCTGGAAAAGCACTACGTTTTTTCCTACTGTCTTCTTCAACCTAAACCTTCTGGGCAATCACGCGCAAACCCGCAAAATTCGCCTGCAGCCGATCGTGATCGCAGGTGTACGATTTACCACAGTAGAATGAACCGTACGACTACTTCTAACTCTTCCAAATCTTCACGTGTTTGGCATCAAGCAAAACCCAATAGAGCTCCGCGGCTACATTCCCGAGTTGAAATATCTCCCCAATAACTTTTGGTAACTTTGAGGCGCTCATGGAAATGATATTGATGACCCCTTTCTTCTTCTAGGCCCTAACCACAATCACTATGTCAACAGCCTGGTTATGAGCATAGCGGTGCTTATTATCTGCAAAAGAAAGGCCATCCTGAACCCAGATTGATCATATCGACACTGCATGGATGGATCAACCCAGCAGTCATTTTGTATCCACGATGCTTTACGACACAACCGCGGAAGTGTTTCTCGCCCTTAGCTCGCTTGTAGAACAACGAGGATTATCTACGGCACTTCTAAACTTCACCCGACTAGGTTTCTCTAGCTTGACCAAGTGTTGGTTGCTACAAAGACATCTTAACTGAAGATGGTCGATTATTGTTTATCATCTGCCATCCTTACTGACCCCTAGACTCAGTATACTAAACGAGACCCACATTTGTAAGCAGCCGGAGTTTGTGTTTAGCGCATGTCCAAGTCGGTGCAGTCTATACCGTCTTATTTGTTACTCAAATGGAGTCAGCTAATCATCATCATTATAACCATTGTGCCCCTAATTGTTTCTTCGCACGCTGGTGTCATCCAACACGAGCAATGCAACGAAGGCACCTGGGGTGATTGAGGTATTCGGGTTGGAGTGTACAAGTCTCGATGTCATGGTCATTGTGGTCATATATCCACCACAGGAAATCTTTCTCTGTTGTGAGCTATCGCCGATTGATACAAACATTTTGTCTTTCGGAACATGCTCTAAGACAGCTGTCACATGCACCTCACCGATTACACGGTTAATAGAGGTGATTTGACTGGCCGTTCCCACTTACTCATCGTCTATAATCAGAAAATAGGCTAATAGCTTTGCAAATCTACCTTACACTTTAAAAGTATGGTGCGTATCCTGAAAAGTGGGGCTGTTTCTGAACGAGAATGTCTTATTTGCACACACGATGAATAGCGATGAAGCAGGATGATCTTGGCAAACACCACTTTTTATTGTAAAGGTGCCCGACAACACCTTAGACACCATGCGACCTGATGTGTTCGAGAGAACTGTATGTGAAATGCTCGCGTATCACTTGGGAATACGTTTCTGAACAACTATATGAAGCTGGACGGAATGACCGACTATGTCGAAAATGCCCTTAAAGACGTGGAAGTTATGACCCGCGTACGTTATATGTGAGTGTTGTAGCACTTGGCGCGGACGGTTAATGTGATCTATCCCAGTTATACACTTGCCTGCTCTTCTTTCATGAGTTAGGCTTGTTACGCAGTACGACGACTGTGTTGGATGGCATTGATCTTGTAATTGCTATTCTTGGATATCAAAATGCCTCAGTTGTCCTGTGGCGATCTCCTTCCATACCTGCTTGCACAGCTAAGTCCTCTACTTTGCGCCTCAACGCTATCTTAGTATAGTGTTGCACAGTATAATTCGGATCGAAATCGCAGAGGAGAATGTGTTTATAAGCGTAGATTCATATGCAGTTTTCAGTTGCGTTTCCACGTTGCAACCTGCGCCACTTGAACTAGAAGGGGCGCAGCGAGTTTGCAAACTAAACTGAAAATGTTACACCTGTATGTCTCATTAACAGATGTGTTGTCGAGATCGTTGACGAGCTTGCAATATTTGCCCGCCGCTCCAACTTTTATTTCTTGAACCTTTCGAATTCACCGGGCTTTCTTATCGGCTTGCAGTTTCTGTTTTAGCTAATACCTGAAAGCCCGTTCGGCTGAATCTTTCTTTTATCTACTGGGAATTCTGTTGGATACCAACAAGCTCACTAGCGTATCATAATCCGATGCCAGACGCACTGACGGCTAGTAGTATCGCAAGCAAGTGCGGCCATAGATTTTATTCTGTTTAGATGTTCATCGCAGCAACCTCCAAATCGGATAGTCCTTTGCATGCCGCGTGAAGCACTAGACGGCCATTTCGTTCTACCAGGACCCGTCAGTTCATCGGAAACATAAGGAGTTTACGAGTTAACTGCGGAATAGCGCGTCTTATCCTCCCCACCATTACGACCGTTTCAGAGGACATAGTTGGCCACGAAAGACACGAGTTCCACTGACAATAGTTATGTACGACCGCATTTAGGGGCTGCTGCGATATACTCTCAAGTAATCACATCAGATATCCTCTACTCACGAGTATACGTCTTATTCTACCGAAGTTCCATATCCTCAGAACAAATTGGATGCACAGTCCACAGATTACCCCGATAGACTTGACCAATTGTTTGCTTAACTAGCTCGGATGTCAGTTGATGGAAAATTGTAACTTTTTTCGGCAAAACGTTAGCACCAGCTTATGGCTTGCTCACAGTCAAGACATGTGATCCACATCAAACGGCAGTCAAGTACATAACCATGAAAATTTCCCCAAACTGTAACTACACCCTTCATCGGCCGTCACGCATATTATCAAGTCATCTTATCTGCTGCATACAGCAGGGCGGATAAGCGAAAACATGCTACTGCTGGTGTCTCCTTTCTTTATCACCTGTTTTTCTTACTCCAATCCAGACCCCATTACTAACTACATTCTATAATTCCCAGCTTCATTGACAGCAACGGAAGTGCCACTAAAGTAGAAGTATCTGCAGGTACCTTCCCGCAACACCCACTGGACAACTATCGGCAACAGTCCTTTATAAGGCCACGCTGTCCCGTTTCCATGACGACATTCAACCTTTGCACTCTAAGACAAATAGGTCAATGGGCTTCACTCGCACGCATGTTAGACACACTGGGTATTGACGTGGGCTGTGTGTCTGAAACTAGGATCAATGACCCAAATTGGGTTTATGAATTAATTGCGCTCAGCTTGTCATCTCGCTATTGGTTGCACTCATCCGGGAATGCCGATGCAGCACTCACGGGTCAAGCTCGGGTAGGTATGTTTATGAACTCCAAAACTGTGTCATAGTTGGTTGATTGGATTCTGCCATTTGTGTGCAGCCCATTTGACGATATCAACTAAGGTTGATTCACGAAGTAATACAAAACACCGTTTGTGGTATCCACTTGTGCTTCCACTGACTGCACTTGTGATGCTGCCAAGGACACGTTTTATCACGAACAGAAGCCGCTACTCCGCAATACTACTAGTTCGGATATCCTAATACTTGCTTGGATATTAACTCACAAGTAAGGCATCTGAGCTCTGCAGAAGCTCATCTGGGTGGCAGTTATGGGCTTAACTCCGGACGGACTGACAACGGTGAGCGCCTGTTACAACTGTGCGCGGAGCACCAGTTGTTTCTTAGTAGCACCGCCTTTAGACACAGTGGACGCCGAAGTGCCACTTGGCGTCCACCTGTAGCTGGCCAGCGATGGACCCAAATTGACTACATAGCCAGAAGTTACAGGTGGCGTGGTATTTGCATCTTGTTTGTCTACAGTATTATCTGATGAGAGAGAAAAACCCGTTCAGTATCTCATTGCACGCCTGACTTGTAATCCTTAGGTCACCGGTTGGAATCTGCGTAGGGGCGGGCGTACTCGAGGTATAATCAGCACGCGCACTACTGGTGGTGGTCGCGTGACAGCGAAGTGTCCATACAGTGTGCCGGCGTACTGCGGATGAGTTTCTTTTCTTTCGTTAATAGCTCTTTTCATTTAGTCCCCATTCGCTAATTTTGTCCCACAATGTGCCGTCACTGAAGCATGACCACTGCCACGCCGAGACTACACCACCATTCGTAACATGCTTGCTTTACATATCGTATTTTATGCATCCCTCATAATAGGCCATCAGGACCAGAAAAAATTTCGATGTTGGTCACTCCAGATGCTATCGGGTTTGCGACCGCCGAAGCTTTCACTGTTGCTCCTTTAAGCACACATCTTCCCAAAAGCTGAAGTCCATTGTTTGATTGCTTTTGTTCACCCACCGGATCCCTTTACGGAACTACCCTGGCGATGAATTCAAATTTCCCATGGCTTTTCTCGCTAACCTCTGTGATCACAGTTCATCCTCGGCGACACGCCTCTTCGCCACATGTCCAGCAAGGAAAAAGCACAATTCCTTCTGATGCCACATCTGAACAATTTTTGAACATCCGGCTATACAACACCAAGTGCTCCGTGACTTTTGCACCTACAATTTAACCGTCTCGATCTTTGCAGTTCACCTTCACTAGACACGTTCTTGTCTCTTTTTGTGGTATTTGTATTTTCTGAGAAATTTAAATCCGCGTATATAGCTTTCTTCTGACCCATCTCATTTTCCAGTGAGCAAGTGCGTAGCATTCGTCGTCAAGGGAAATCCTGAAAGGTAAACTGCTTTGGCCGTGACTATATATATATATGGTTGACGGCATCCGGTTTCGGATTTGCCTGTCACTGTGGCCAGCCACAGGACGCCTGCGCCTACAGAGGGCGCATGGGTGGCTTGCGCTGCACCACCCACAGCTCCATCCACACACCCCATATCCAATGTAAACCCGAAGGAATAAGACCGGGAGGCATGTGGATGGGAGCCACGTTTCATCAACGGAGCCGGCCCACACTCCTTCACAGACAAACAAGCACGCTGTATTTGGGGAATCAAGTGCACACAAGGCGGTGGCTGGACCGTAGTCCGCTCCACACTGACTGCATGGAACCACTTTTCGAGCCTAGCACGACCACAAGGACCGTGCATCCCGTCCCCTAAAGCAACGACCAACTGTCTCCTGAAGCCAGTATGGACGAGGTAGTGGGTAATAGACAGGTAGGCACATCAAGCGCAGCCACACCTGGGATGTCAAACAACAACCAATCACTCGAAATGCCGATATCGAATAAAGTAAACGCATATGACGACATGAATACTCGCTAAATGAGCATATGGAAGAAATTGGTTATAAGTGAATTCGTGATAAGTACAAGATGTCCGAAAGTTATTTAAAAAATACCACGCACTAAAATTACGCAAGTTTCCCACAATTTGCGTGAGCGACGTGTGCAAGTAAGGTGAAGGTTATCAAGTACGCAGAACAAACCAAATAACATGTAATGAATTTTATCCACATTAAAAAGACCTAGTTTAAGTGTAAGTTGGTTTAGCCCAACTGCGGTGAAGAAGCATCATGAATGCAACATCAGCCTCAGCAAGGGGCACGGACCGTCATTATATATGCATGCATATACACATCCAAAATGGACACACGCCAAGGAGCAGCATCTGCGAACCCTATATTTTTTGAGGTTTGTCATGTGTAGTGTATCTTTTGGTGTACTTATGACAGGACTGGAATGCCGAACAACTTTCTCGTGATGCCAGCTGGCTAGTTCAGGATTATCCCGTTCCTGCCAGTTGTTTTGCAGCAGTGTTCCAGGTGGTGGTGGGTCTTCCTCTGGCAAGCCACATACAACTGTTTAACAACACTGCGATTTGACGGATGTAACTCGCCACTAAATAAAGTCATCGCCCCTTGCTTCACTCCGACGGAGTAAACCATCCCAGCACCCTCTTGCTGAAGTCGTTTGGGAGCATTGGGCCTCTTTTGGTAAGCGTCTAAACAAACGGTGTATAACCTGAGAAATAGGTCAGCGGCTTCCAATGGGTGCGATACTCTGAATTCGCTCCGCTATCTTACGAGTAGGCTATTCAGTCAAAGGGTCGGAGTGTTGTCCCCTAAGATAACCACCTATCTCGGCTTGGGCAAACACTGACAGAACCATGGATCTCGCGACTACTACTATGTTTTTCTCATCCGCTATTGAGCTCCTGACAGCTGAATCGCCTCCGTCACACGCCAATTTTATCTTCATCAATAATTCCTTTGAGTCTACCTCTGATGCTGTTCTCGCCCATGTGCAAGAAACCCGACCAGTGGCCCACCTTTTTCTCGATGTCCATTTCGGCTGACAGCTTTCAGAAATAGAACTCGTATGCAGAGCCGACAACAAGCCGGCCTAGCGCACACTCTGAAGTCCCTTGCTATTAATGTCTATTGTCTTTCTCAGACTCCTTTATAGGACTCCACCACCGTATTTATCGCACCCTGCTGATCTCAGGACCAAATATTCCCTACATTTGTCTGGTGACACAGGAGATACTGTAGCTGGTCTGGCTTGTGTTGGCATCGCGTTGAGGCCTCGCTGCTCGAGTGGTTCCCGAATGACAGCCAATTGTATGTAGTTCGACTTCAAGGCTTGTGTAAGGTCAATAAGCATTGTACAGGTAGACGTACTTTGTCTGTGGTTTCAGCATATGCTCTAAGCGACTGCAGTTGTGCATCGATTAAGGACGACTTCTGTAGCGGACTCCACCAGCTTTTGAATAAAGCCGAAAAATCCGATGTTGTTCTCCTTGCCGAAGACTTCAGTGCGCGGATCGGTCGCCTGCTGACATGTAGGCGTCATCCTGATGGCCATCATGCTGATGATGAGGGTCGCTCTGATAATATATATATATATATATATATTCTCGAAAGTGTAAGAAACTGTTCCCAAATTAGGAACAGATGAATATGTGCAGTAATGATCATGCTCTTGCATGAGTGCATGTTGATGGCAATTCTTATCCCTTTAGGTCTTTTTTGGACCACCCTGAAATAGTTCATCGAGTGAGTTGTCAGATGAGAACATGGATGATAACACTTCTAGGTCTAAGAATCTGTCGAGTTTGGTGTGGAATGACGTGAGGTTTTCACATGTCCTGATTGTGGTTGTTAGGCTGTTCCACAGCACGGCGTATCTGATGAGGAAATAATCTGACCGCACTGATGTTCTAGCCCTTGTTCTCTGTAGCATAAATGTTTTTGTTACGGTGTGTGATGGTCATTGTTTTAACGCTATTATGAAGATAAGGGCACTTTTTCTGGTGCAACAAATTGTGGAAGAGCAGCCAGAGAGGCTCGATGTGAAGCTTTTTGCAGCGTTCGCGATAGTTTAGAGTGGATGCGCCATTGAACAAACTTTTTGTGAATGACTTCTGTAGATTTTCTATAGCTTTCCTGTCTAACTAACGCATGCTGCTATACGTGAAACTGCAGTATACGAGAATAGGACGAGTGAGTTTTAAATAATTCCAATCTGACAGGGATAGTATAGATTTTGTGGCATATGTTAGGCACGGATTGTTTACTTCGAGCTATTTGGTATTGGGCTTGTTCAGAAAAACGGAAGTTGGAAAGATATCGGACTCCAAGACTGCCGTATGGACATACTTTTGTTAAGTTTAACTGACCCATCGGGGATCGAGCAACCACATGGTATAATGTTTGATTTGTCGATTGGGAATTTTATCAACCACGTCTCAGACCATTCTTCAAGAGAGTGAAACTCTACTTAAAATTAGTGTGTTCCGAAGCGCATCACGCCGGAGTTTATAAACAATCTTGCTATCATCAGCAAATGGAAAGAGCTGGCCATTTTTGATGGACATACCGATATCATTGATTTAGATGAGAAAAAGCAGAGGGACAAATACTGTTCCTTGGATGACGCCGCTGGTTATTGGAGGAAGAGAAACGTGGTAATCACCCAAAGTGACTACGTGAGACCGATTGCTAAATTAGTAGGAAAGCCAACCTTCTGAGGTGTAGTTAAGGTAGTGTATCTGGCAGGTCGTGCAGGGATGTCTATCAAGGAAACCATGTTGAGATGTGTTAAATAGGTTCAGGGATTTAAAGAACTCTATCAACGTTTTCTTGACTAATCTTTCAAACAGAATGGCGATGTTGAGAGTATGTTGAGTCGGTCGATAATTGGTAACTTTTTGCTTTGGACCACTTTATGGCGTGGGATGATGAATGAGGTTTTCCAATGATCAGGGAAATAGCTAGTTTGTAGCCATAAAGTAAAGCTTTTCAACAAATGCAATGGTAAGTCGAGCCCTCCCAATTTAATCGCAGTTGAAGGAATGCCGTTGGAGTCCAATCTTAGAGAAGGTTTGGTGGTTTTCATTAGCTGCTGCATAGTGCTGAGAGAAATTTCGACACTGCTTAGACTTTTGGCTGTAGCGGATTAAGAGCATTCAGCTATGGAGCTAGATTCAAAAGTCATCGAGACAGCAAAGAAAGCGCTAAACGCCTTACAAATGGCAAGTAGCTCACTCAGAGATTTGGCATGTTCATCCAAGAGTCCCGTGAAAGGAGAAGAGCTGTTGTCTGTTCTATGACGAAGAATACCGACGAGTTTCTTTGTTTTGCTACCTGTTCGTACAGCATTTTCTTCTTCGCTTTTGTGTCTCATCACTTGTGCATGTTTGGTTCAAGTGGTCCATCCGTGTACTTGCAATATTGTTGAACGTTCTCCGGTCCTGTGAAATCTTGCCAACAATTTTCGCCTCTTCTGGGTGAGCAAGCGTTCTTTTGCATCCTTAGAGCAGTAGGAAACACGTTTACTTAGTGTAGTACGATGGGTTATGGCATGATGGGTGTTAGTATGGAGCTGCTATCGTTAGGCAAACATTGGTGGATAGGAAAAATGTATCCCAGTCGACAGATCGGACCAGATATTGGAGGTATGTCCAATCAATTCTCTGGATGGATTGTTTTGGGAGAAGGTTCTGTTTGGCATCTGATACTGAAAAGGCATTGTAATGTTTTGTGGTCACGACCTAGGAGAGAGTCCAACAGAGCGATGTTTGCGTCGACGATTCATAATGTAAATATTAAATCAACTACGCCAGTGGTACCTTAACGCACTGTGTGCATCCTCCAGCCATGATAGTTGACAGGAAATCTCTATGGGTTAACGAATATGGATTTGCTGACCAAGCTATTTCCAGGAAATTGAAGTCTCCAGCTAGTGTTTTCTGTTTGTACAGCAGCACTGATGCAAAATGTACTGCGGAGCAGATGGTGGCGACATCACCAGTTGGGGTATGTGGAGAGTTGTAGGTACATCGCAGATGTACATGAGGAGTACTGCTGGTGACAGGTAACCACAGTGATTCCGGGACAATTTCCAGCTCATGATTGTCAAGAGACATTGCTGTGGATGTTTGATGCGTATATACACTATATCCGCACCAACGCCGTTTACAGTGATCTTTACGAAATAGTTGGTAGTTGGGGACTGTTATGGTCGAATCCAACGTATTTGTAGAGCACCACGTTTCAGTGAAAAGGATTGCAGTTGAAGTGCTCAACTGTGCAATCATGTTTAAAAAATGATGTTTGTTGTGAGTAGATCTCACATTGCTCAAGAGTAGGGAATACAGTA